TATAACGGTATAAGTGTGATACCAGGTCTGGTCTATAACGGTATACGTCTGATACCATATCTGGTCTGTAACGGTACACGTATGATACCATGTCTTGTCAATAACGGTACACGTCTGATACCATGTCTGGTCTATAACGTTATAAGTGTGATACCAGGTCTGGGGTGAGTTTTACTAAGCAACTTAAGTTACGATTTTATCGTAACCTTATCTTACGTTAAATCTCCGTCTTACTAAACTTCGTATCTTGAGTTACGCGTAAAAAACCATCGCAAATTACGACAGCTTAGGGGCTACCCTAACTTACGATTTTGTCTTAAGTAATGAACTTTCTTAACTCAAATGGATTTATTTAGCGCTACAGGTTTCTTTGACGGGTGGCTTGTGAACGACATCAAATATCTCACTTCATCCCAGCCCATATGTTATTGGATGATTTCTTCAAACAGACACAATTGCATTTTAATTTTGTCTTCTTTTTTTTAAACAAAAATTGTTGCCATAATCCTTAGCTCCTGCTACAACAATTAATACTAGAGATAAAATAGGTAAATGTATCGAGGCGTAAAAAGAAAAGGAAATGTAGATACAGTCTCCGTGTTTGTTTTTGGGGGTCTTTAAACTGATATTGATAATCATCATATGAGAATATGTTCAAACCAATCATATACAACCCGGTGACGTAATTGTGTCATATCACGTCATATCACGTCATATTTACAGAAGATGTGACGTAAATAACGTCACTGTTATCATCAGCACAGGCACAGCTTTCAAACAATATGACAAGAAGCGGTATAAGAAGAAAAAACAATATTATTAATTTAAACAGTTATAAAATCGCTTGTAACATGACGACGATCTAAAACATTTGGTCTGTGCGCTGGACATCTCGTCAACTAATACGATCAATCTTACACGTACAAATTGTGGTAACATACTCTACACAGAGGAGAGGAAACAAGGGATACTTTTTTGTTGAAATGAATAAATAAATAGATAAATAAATAAATAAAAGGACATACTGTAGCAGTACAGTAAAGAAAGACCATAATTATGTTAAGGTTCAAGTAACATCTTCTACACGGCAGGCACAATAATATGTTTTTTTTTTTTTTAATAATCTGAATATATTTATGACGGTTGATATTACAACTGTGTAAGTATTTAGGAGCTATGGTACACAAACCATACGTGAGAAGGATGGTAAATCGGTACACATTTTTGATAAATAACTTTTTATATTTCTGGATCCAATTACCTACAAAAACACACAAGAATACAATGTAGCTAGTTTACTTTGATATGATTCAGACAGTAATCACGCCAGTTATCTAGCTTTCCTTCAAATGATATTTTCTATAGTATATGTCAGCAATGTGCGAATCCGCTGACTGGTCAGCAATCAAGAACCGCGGTTAGAATCCTGTGCGTAGAACATCTCTCAATTAATCAAAGGATGCCACGTGCACCGTCACGTTCATTGAAGCATTGCAAAAAATAGTATAATCAGCACTTTTCTAATCGTGGCAAAAGTACCTGTAACGTTGACCTTAAAGGACTTAAAGAAAAAACAATATTGTTGAAATATGGTTTGATTTTAATCATGGACTTAAATGACTGCATGTATATTCCACTACGTACATTGTATACATTATTACGGTAGTTTACTGAATTGTGCTTGAATGATAGAAGTGGCAAATCAAGCTGGCGTGGAAATGTTTTTTGGTTATTTTTGTTCTTAAAACAAATAAAAAAGCAGTGTCCGACCCTGCCGTGAATTGTTGTTGCTGGTTGATTGTATATAAAAAAATAACGATCTTACGTAAACAGCATTTCAACTATCACAACCTAGAAAAGTTATATTTATTTCAATGTTAATCATTGTTAAACACACACATTTGGAGTTGTTTGTATCAAACATTGAGCAAACCACGGAATGACTGACGTCACAAATGTTGCTGCGTGACATCATTCAGGCGTGTTTACAACAATGTTTATTCAAAGACATTTCAGTAAAATCTTCTGTATTGGTGAACGTCGGCATTTTGATACTTTGCATTCTATATTCGGACGAATTATTAGCTGAAACCATTACTAATGTGACGAATTTGCCTTCACTAACATAAGCATGAGCTTGGACACAATTTAATTGTACAGAACCGCGATTCTTACATAGATCCCACCTCACCACGAGATATTCTCTGCCCTAACCCTTCCCAGTATGGCGGGGGTATTCACAAGAACATTTCTTTCGATTTTGTTGTTGTTGTTTATCCTAGTTGAAGTGAAGTAGACTGTATGAAACAAACCCCCTCTTTTCACATCTATTTATCAATGACGTGACCGTTACGTATACGTCAAATGTAGGCATGCTGCCAATCTTGCAAAAAAGGCGAAACTGGCGACTGCGCTTGCGTGGTGTTTGTTACTAAGATGAATCCTACCTTCAACACAAGAGAGTTCCGAAATCGTAACTTACGAAATCTTCGTAAGTTAAGTTTACGACGAAACTTACGAACGCTTTAGTAAAACAGACACTTCGTAACTTAAGTTTATACTTACGAAATTCGTAAGTTGGATTTTTTTTGCGTGACTTAAGTTGCTTGGTAAAACTCACCCCTGGTCTATAATGGTACACGTCTGATACCATGTCTGGTCTATAACGGTACACGTCTGATACCATGTCTGGTCTATAACGGTACACGTCTGATACCATGTCTGGTCTATAACGGTACACGTCTGATACCATGTCTGGTCTATAACGGTACACGTCTGATACCATGTCTGGTCTATAACGGTACACGTCTGATACCATGTCTGGTCTATAACGGTACACGTCTGATACCATGTCTGGTCTATAACGGTACACGTCTGATACCATGTCTGGTCTATAACGGTACACGTCTGATACCATGTCTGGTCTATAACGGTACACGTCTGATACCATGTCTGGTCTATAACGGTACACGTCTGATACCATGTCTGGTCTATAACGGTACACGTCTGATACCATGTCTGGTCTATAACGGTACACGTCTGATACCATGTCTGGTCTATAACGGTACACGTCTGATACCATGTCTGGTCTATAACGGTACACGTCTGATACCATGTCTGGTCTATAACGGTACACGTCTGATACCATGTCTGGTCTATAACGGTACACGTCTGATACCATGTCTGGTCTATAACGGTACACGTCTGATACCATGTCTGGTCTATAACGGTACACGTCTGATACCATGTCTGGTCTATAACGGTACACGTCTGATACCATGTCTGGTCTATAACGGTACACGTCTGATACCATGTCTGGTCTATAACGGTACACGTCTGATACCATGTCTGGTCTATAACGGTACACGTCTGATACCATGTCTGGTCTATAACGGTACACGTCTGATACCATGTCTGGTCTATAACGGTACACGTCTGATACCATGTCTGGTCTATAACGGTACACGTCTGATACCATGTCTGGTCTATAACGGTACACGTCTGATACCAGGTCTGGTCTATAACGGTACACGTCTGATACCATGTCTGGTCTATAACGGTACACGTCTGATACCATGTCTGGTCTATAACGGTATACGTCTGATACCATGTCTGGTCTATAACGGTACACGTATGATACCATGTCTGGTCTATAACGGTACACGTCTGATATCATGTCTGGTCTATAACGTTGCATGTCTGATACCATGTCTGGTCTATAACGGTACACGTCTGATACCAGGTCTGGTCTATAACGGTACACGTCTGATACCGTGTCTGGTCTATAACGGTACACGTCCGATATATAACGGTACACGTCTGATACCAGGTCTGGTCTATAACGGTACAAGTCTGATACCATGTCTGGTCTATAACGGTACACGTCTGATACCATGTCTGGTCTATAACGGTACACGTCTGGTATATAACAGTACACGTCCGATACCATGTCTGGTATATAACGGTACACGTCTGATACCAGGTCTGGTCTATAACGGTATAAGTGTGATACCAGGTCTGGTATATGACGATTTAAGTGTGATACCAGGTCTGGTCTAAAACAGGACAAGTCGGATACCAGGTCTGGTCTATAACGGTATAAGCCAAGTAACAGGTCTGGTATATGACGATATAAGTGTGATACCAGGTCTGGTCTATAACAGTACAAGTCTGATGCCATGTCTGATCTAAAACGGTATAAGTCTGATACTAAGTCTGGTCTATAACGGTACACGTCTGATACCAGGTCTGGTCTATGACAGTATAAGTCGGATATCAGGTCTGTTTTATTACAGTACAAGTCGGATATGAGGTCTGGTCTATTACAGTGTAAGTCGGATATCAAGTCCGTTACATTACAGTATAAGTCGGATATCAGGTCCGTTACATTACAGTATAATTCGGATATCAGGTCCGTTACATTACAGTATAAGTCGGATATCAGGTCTGGTCTATTATAACGGTAGTCTGATACCATGTCTGGTCTATAACAGTATGAGTCTGATACCATGTCTGATACCATGTCTGGTCTATAACGGTACACGTTTGATACCAAGTCTGGTTTATAACGGTTCACGTCTGATACCAGGTCTGGTCTATAACAGTACACGTCTGATACCATGTCTGGTCTATAACAGTATAAGTCTGATACCATGTCTGGTCTATAACGATACATGTCTGATATCATGTCTGGTCTATAACGGTACACGTCTGATACCAGGTCTGGTCTATAACAGTTCACGTCAGATACCATGTCTGGTCTATAACGGTACAAGTCTGATACCATGTCTGGTCTATAACAGTGTAAGTCCGATACCAGGTCTGGTCTATAACGGTACACGTCTGATATCAGGTCTGGTCTATAACGGTATACGTCGGATACCATGTCTGGTCTATAACAGTACAAGTCCGATACCAGGTCAGATGTGATGCCTGGTCTACAACTTTAAATACCGATACCAGGTATTGTATAAATCGTATTGAATGAAATAAACAACCTGTCACATTTCAAAATATTCATTTAATCATTGCACAAACCGTAACAAAGACTGAACTTCAACCGAATACATAGTCTGGCTGTAACAGTGTGAACTATAGCAACCGATTTATGGTAGAATATTTCAGTCCTAGCACTCAAAATCTCGTGGTAATTCTTATAATCCATTCTTTACGAACATAAGCCGAATCCTATTTCGACAATATAACCTGAATATAACCTTATCAACAGTTTATGTCTTTATCTTGTTTAAAAACCTGGTGATAAGGTGAATGAGCGTGCGCTGCTTGTAGCCGTAGTTGTGATAGTATGTGTCGCCGACACACTTGTTGAACTGGGTGTGACTGATAGAATCGTCCCAGCACTCAATCACTACCCCCACGAAGTATCTCTCCAGGCCGTCCAATGAGTCGGAGGTGATGGCGGAGAACTCCGAGCTAAACCCGTAGGCCTTCAGCTGATGGTAATCCTCTCTGATGCACGCGATGAGCGCATGTCGATCGTCTGACGGAACATCTGGGTCGGTCTCACAAGGGATTAACAGATTACATTTAAGGAAGTCTAAAAACTCCTTGGAGATGTCGCCATTGAGGTGATTTTCTGTGTAATTGTAGGTAGCGTAGTAAGTGGTGGCCACACAGTCGTTGAAAGCAGTGTGATCTACGGAAGCATTCCAGCATGAACCGACAACCCGCACAAAATAGCCCTCCAGCTTGTCCAAAGCTTCATTGCTTAGCGACGCGAAGTTCCTGCCAAACATCGTGACCTTGAGACTGTGGTACCTGACCTTGATGCAGTCGATTAGGGCCGTCCTGTTGGCCATGTAGTCCGAGGCCTTGTTGGTCTCGCAGTAATGTAGCACGCTGTCATCAAGATAGTCCAAGAAGTCTTTGGACACCGCATCATTTGGACAGGAAGTGACCAGTGTCAGCATAGTCGCCATCAGGATGGTTTGAGCAATCATACTGTAAAATAGAAGACGTGAAGTTCTGTACATGTACTACGGTGTTTACACTGAACGAATAAATCCGAGAAAGGTGGGGGTCAACATTTGATTTATTTTATTCTTTTGTCATATGTAGATACATAAAAATGATCCGATAACTGCATAAATGATTATTCATAATTACTACTGATAACATGTATTATTTTTTCATTCTGACCCTTTTTTAACAAAGTTATGTCCGTTTGTTGAAAAATACTTCCTATACCCATACCTTTTTGGATTTAACTTGTTTTGAAATTCCAAGCGGGGCCGACGCTTATGTTAAAGCGCAATAGGCGTTGATCCTACCTTTGAATTATAAAAGTACAAAAGCGAAACTGATGTCTTTCCAGAGGAAGGCAAAGACAGGATTTTCTCACATACTTCATAGGATGATCCCGTTGTTGCTAGGGAGGAGATAACTCATAACTATGACGTCATAATAAATTGTCGACGTGACGTCATTGTATTGTTTCCGTTTTGTCATACATTCGTTGTGAATCCTCAGTCTCAACTCCATAGGGTTTTGGAGTTTTGGCGGAAGAATCAGATCGATGTTTATTCCGTCTGGAATTTGTTTATTTGTAAGTATGTGGGAAAAATAATCATAATCACACCCACCCCAGACCATTTTATACTCCACCTGGGTTGTTGGAGTTTTGTGTGCAGGAGAAAAACACTTTCTCTAATATTCCATGCGTACGGCGACTTCGGGGATCGAACCCCGGCCGCCTGCTTGGAAGGCCGGAGTGTTAACCACTCGACCAATCCGCCCATAGTACACTATTTGTCATACATCATACAAAAAAATGTAATTCACCAGTGCGAGGTTAATCAGTCAATTATCACAACCAAGTTGGAGTAAAACTAGAGAAGTGTGTAACACATGAATGCCCTTTGCCACAGAAAATGTATCTCACTGTTTGACAATTTTCTATAAATAGTAACAGTGACCTTGACCTAGTAAATAGTTTTCAAAATAGCGGCATTGGCGGCCATATTGGATTTTTGATAGACCCGAAAAATAACAACGCTTTGTCAGGACCACCAGCCGTTCATTCCTGCAAGGTTTCAGTTAAATCGGCCCATCAGAACTTGACTTTAAGTTTGAAATATTTTGTTTTCCAAAATGGCGGCATGCGCGACCATATTGGATATCTGAGCGACCCGAAAAATAATAACACTTAGACCAGAGAGATGTCAGTAACATTCCCAGGAAATAAAAAAGAAATCCCTTCGACAGGTCCCGATTACTTGGGTATATAACAATAAATTTGTGTAAGCCTAACGAAGAAAAATATCAATGTATGCTTGCGAGGTTTAGTACGTACCGGTTATGACGACGGTGAACTAAAACACATGGACCTAATAGTTTGTTACAGCTATATCGGAACCTAAACTAAGGTGTAAATAGTAATTTGATATGTTTTAGGGGTTTATATCGACTTTTGGTAAAAATGGCACCCAATGATCATGACATTGTATACGATCATTGGGCGTGCTATTTTACCGGAAGTCGATCTAAACCCCTTAGTTTAGGTCCAAATATAGCTGTAATTAATTCTCAGGTCCCTGTGTACTAAAATAGCAAGACAAAATGTTCTCCTTTACACTTAATTTTTTCCTTTATTTAAAACATGAACCAGAGATTACTAAACCGAGCATTATTTTAATCAGGTTTTCACAATGTCCCTTCCCGCGCCGTAGCTTTGAAACATTTGTCGCCAAAAACGTGTTTTTTTTACTGGAAACATTGACATTTTTACATATGTAGTACAACGATACATATATGTACAACAATTCTACATCTTATTTCTTGTAGTAGCTTACTATGATGGGAAAATCGGGTCGACTGAATGGCCAGAAAGTGAGTTATGTCACGTTATTGTACACGTTCATATCACACTGGCTTTATCAATGAACTAACGTTACTACATTGTACGCCCGACCTATCGTCGAATATTGGGGTATACCCTCTTTTCTAAAATATGAAATTTGTTAAGAGTGGAGATTTGCCATAGGCATTTGGGACAACTTACCATGGGTTTTTTTTTAAATCAGAATCCATACAACTATTTATTACCGTACCAATGTAATTCTATCCAATAAATAACACTGTACACCATTGTTCAGTCATGGTCAAGTGAATCTCTGAAGTTTAAATCTATTTATAGAATGCGTTAACATGTATTTGGTGTTTGGGTTTTTTAAAATATTAGACGTCGGATTTTTATAGATTATGTACCTGTGTGTACGATTGTAATACATGTAGTGATATATTTCCAGAAAGATCCCTTTGAAACGATAGTTGATACAATTTGATTTTTCATTCTTTATTGTCTATTTACTAGAGATCGAGACATTTCATGAAACGAACGACGTTCTCCTATGTTTGCGACATGATCCACAATCTGTATGAAAAAATCACATCCCTGCTGGCGATAGATACACGTAATCACGAAAATGGCAACGAAATGAAAAGATAATCCTGTTTATCTACCCTTACAGCTTCCTTACACCGATATTCTTTTGGAAATCCCTTTTGACAATATTTCACCAATCTATGGTATTTCATGTGCATGTACCTTATACGATAGTCTAGTTTGCATTATACTTAGTAAAGCAACAAAGATCCACTTCCTATTCCCTCACACTTAACATTATTGAAAACGTTTCCATGATCGGGGCCTTGTGAAAAAATAAAGCTTGACTTACCTGAATTATCGGCTACACACGTACCTGTTGACAGCTTCTGATCGTATTTACCTGTCATAGTGGTGCACGTCCTTTTACCGACACCCTGGCCCCGCCCATAAAACGACAGCCAATCAGAGGTCCGCATTATGCCGTATGACGAAAAAGAGCACGTGAAAGGACAGCAAAAATGGCGGGAAATAATCAAGTGAGTTTTCATCGATAATAGACCACGTGACACAAGTATGTGATGAACACAGCTCACCTATTTAGAGGTACGAGACAGGGGAATTGAGTTCGGACAAAAAAAAACACAATAGCCTTGTTTTGGTAAGACAGGGGGACATTTCTCACAGTTTCGATTGTCTTTGTTCCTTAATGATGGAGAATCGTATTTTGAACTAAAAAAACAAAAAGAAAAAAATATTTAAAGGGGCTGGTCGGGGAAAAAATGTCATATTTGCTAAAATGGCATACACATGTTTAAAATACCTTCTTATGAAATATACCGATACAAATTTTGCTGAAATTCACTCCCTAAGAGTAAAAATTATAATTATATTAAAGAAATCCTAAATCGTCACCTGACAGTCTAAAACTCTCAATTGACCCAGATCAGTGATGTAATTTTACCGCACGCGCGTCATTAACAAGGCCAAATGTAAACATCGTGGCGAAAGAAAAAGATGCATGCAAAAGTCATGACATGCACGAGGTATCAATACCGTTATATGTAACAACAACTTATAGGTAGGAATACTACACTTGCATTATACATGACCTTTGAAAACAATTATTTACGTATAGTATTGCTTTCTTGTCCGATAGTTGAGTCCGACATGGCACATGACGGCGTGCTATTCACTTTCGAAACAACCACGTGACATATATTAATCGATCTGCGCTAAATTTACGCGGGGCTTCCCCGAGATTTCAGTGGTCAAAACTGGACATTGCAAGCAGAACTCGGCCATCATATTGCCGTGGTATAACTTTTGGAAGGCCAGAGAACGCATTTAGACCCATTTATTTTGTAATGTTTTCCCCGACCAGCCCCTATAACGGTTTGCAATTTTTTTTTAATGTTTTGTTTTGCTATATGCTGACAATATTGTTATTTTTCGGAAACTCCAGAAGGATTACAAAGTGCGCTGTTTTTTTTCTCTCTCAACAATACTGTGAGATATGGAAATTCTCTATTTCATAGCCAGGTATCAAAACCAAATATAAATACCATATTATTATTTAAAAGACCTGAAGAAATATTGAAAATCAATGCAATAGGTCTGAATAACATGTTTGGTAATTCGAGAGAAAAAAATAATTAATCCCTACCGATCTACACAATATTTTTTCAGTCATATAACCTGCAACATACATTCATATTGCCTGATTGCCTAATTGTCCATCTTGTCATGCAGATGGCGTGTGATGTTCTCACCTTACGTAACAAATAAAATCTAAAATACACAGAATACACCCACGTATAAACACTATAGAATACACTCACGTATAAACACTATAGAATACACTCACATATAAACACTATAGAATACACTAACGTATAAACACTATAGAATACACTCACATATAAACACTATAGAATACACTAACGTATAAACACTATAGAATACACTCACGTATAAACACTATAGAATACACCCACGTATAAACACTATAAAATACACTAACGTATAAACACTATAGAATACACCCACGTATGAACACTATAGAATACACTAACGTATAAACACTACAGAATACACTCACGTCTAGACACTTTAAAATACACTCACGTCTAGACACTTTAGAAAACACTCACGTCTCGAAACTATAGAATACACCCACGTCTAGACACTCAAAAATATACGCACGTCTAGAAACTTTAGAATACACTCACGTCTAGACACTTTAAAATACACTCACGTCTAGACACTTTAAAATACACTCACGTCTAAACACTTTAGAAAACACTCGCGTCTCGAAACTATAGAATACACCCATGTCTAGACACTCAAAAATATACGCACGTCTAGAAACTTTAGAATACACTCACGTCTTGAAACTATAAAATACACCCACGTCTAGAAACTATAAAATACTCTCACGCCAGACACTATACCATACTCTCACGTCAGACACTTTAAATACATTCACGTCTAGACTCTGTAAATACATTTACCTGTAGACACTTTAGAATACACTCACGTCTAGACACTTTAGAAAACACTCACGTCTAGAAACTATAGAATACACTCAGGTTTAGACACTCAAAAATATACCGACGTCTTTACACTTTAGAATACATCCACGTCTAGAAACTATAGAATACTCTCACGTCTAGACACTCAAAAATATACGCACGTCTAGAAACTTTAGAATACACCCACGTCTAGAAACTATAGAATACACTCACGTCTAGAAACTTTAGAATACACTCACGTCTTGAAACTATAAAATACACCCACGTCTAGAAACTATAAAATACTCCCACGCCAGACACTATACCATACTCTCACGTCAGACACTGTAAATACAATCACGTCTAGACTCTGTAAATACATTTACCTGTAGACACTTTAGAATACACTCACGTCTAGACACTTTAGAAAACACTCACATCTAGAAACTATAGAATACACTCAGGTTTAGACACTCAAAAATATACCCACGTCTTTTCACTTTAGAATACATCCACGTCTAGAAACTATAGAATACACTCACGTCTAGAAACTTTAGAATACACTCACGTCTTGAAACTATAAAATACACCCACGTCTAGAAACTATAAAATACTCTCACGCCAGACACTATACCATACTCTCACGTCAGACACTGTAAATACATTCACGTCTAAACTCTGTAAATACATTTACCTGTAGACACTTTAGAATACACTCACGTCTAGACACTTTAGAAAACACTCACGTCTAGAAACTATAGAATACACTCAGGTTTAGACACTCAAAAATATACCCACGTCTTTACACTTTAGAATACATCCACGTCTAGAAACTATAGAAAACACTCATGTCTAGACACTCAAAAATATACGCACGTCTAGAAACTTTAGAATACACCCACGTCTAGAAACTATAGAATACACCCACGTCTAGAAACTATAGAAAACACTCACATTTAGACACTCTAAAATACACCCACGTCTAGACACTATAAATACATTCACGTCTAGACACTTTAGAATACACTAATGTCTAGACACTGTAAATACATTTACGTGTAGACACTTTAGAATACACTCACGTCTAGACACTCAAAAATATACTCACGTCTAGAAACTATAGAATACACCCACGTATAAACACTATAAAGTACACTAACGTATAAACACTCTAAAATACACTCACGTATAAACTCTATAGAATACACCCACGGATAAACACTATAGAATACGCTCACGTCTGGACACTTTAGAATACACGCACGTCTAGACACTATATCATACCCTCACGCCAGACACTATAGAATACGCTCACGTATAAACACTATAAAGTACACTAACGTATAAACACTCTAAAATACACTCACGTATAAACTCTATAGAATACACCCACGTATAAACACTATAGAATACGCTCACGCATAGACACTAAATTACACTAATATATAAACACTATAGACTACACTAACGTCTAGACACTATAAACTACACTCACGCCAAGACAGCATCATTCACCATGCTTAGACTTTAGAATACAGTCATGTCTAGACACTTTAGAATCCACTAATGTCTAGACACTGTAACTACATTTACGTGTAGACACTTTAGAATCCACTAATGTCTAGACACTGTAACTACATTTACGTGTAGACACTTTAGGATACACTCACGTCTAGAAACTTTAGAATATATCCACGTCTAGAAACTATAGAATGCACTCACGTCTAGACACTCAAAAATATACTCACGTCTAGAAACTATAGAATACACTCAGGTTTAGACACTCAAAAATATACCCACGTCTTTTCACTTTAGAATACATCCACGTCTAGACACTATATCATCCTCTCCCGCCAGACACTATACCATACACCCACGCCAGTCGCTATACCATACTCTCACGCCAGTCACTATACCATACTCTCACGCCCGACACTATAACTACATTCACGTCTAGACACTTTAAAATACACTCACGTCTAGACAGTTTAGAATACACTAATGTCTAGACAATGTAAATACATTTACGTGTAGACACTTTAGGATACACTCACGTCTAGACAGTTTAGAATACACTAACGTATAAACACTATAGAATACGCTTACGCCTAGACACTTTAGAAAACACTCACGTCTAGAAACTTTAGAATATATCCACGTCTAGAAACTATAGAAAACACTCACATTTATACACTATAAAATACACCCCCGTCTAGACACTATATCATTCTCTCACGCCAGACACTATAGAATACGCGCACGCCTAGAGACTAAATTACACTAATATATAAACACTATAGACTACACTAACGTCTAGACACTGTATAATAAACCCACGTTTATAAACTAAAGAAAACACTCACATTGAGACACTATAAAATACACACACGTCTAGACACTATATCATCCTCTCACGCCAGACACTGTAATACATTCACGTCTAGACATTGTAAATACATTCACGTCTTGACACTTTAGAATACACGCACGTCTAGACACTATATCATACTCCCACGCCAGACACTATAGAATACGCGCACGCCTAGAGACTAAATTACACTAATATCTAGACACTATCTAGACACTATAAATACATTTACCTGTAGACACTTTAGAATCCCCTCACGTCTAGACACTTTGGAATACACTAATGTCTAGACCCTGTAAATACATTTACCTGTAGACACTTTAGAATCCACTAATGTCTAGACACTATAAATACATTCACGTTTAGACACTTTAGAATACCCCCACGTCTAGACACTATATCATTCTCTCACGCCAGACACTATAGAATGCTCTCACGTCTGGACACTTTAGAATACACGCACGTCTAGACACTATAGAATACACCCACGGATAAACACTATAGAATACTTACGTAACAAATAAAATCTAAAATACAC